AGTTACTCATGATTAATGGTTATAATACAGAACACTATAAAAAGCATTAATGAACTACAACAGATCACAAAAACATAGTTAGAAAAATAGGTATGAATGTAGTGCATATTTTTGCTTTGGCAGTGGACAATTATAATTGTGGCTCCTTGGTGCTCTCTGAGCTTTGTGGTTTTCTTGCAGGTGTTTCATTTCCAAACTAGATAACATCAGTACAATTATAATTAACAATTATAATTAAATAACACAGACAAGTTCTTAATGAAGATGTTTTGAAACTAATTATAATAGTATTAAAAATCAAAATTAATCCAGTTGATAACCATTGATTCTTTAATGAGTTTTTGTAATTCACAAATAATAAGGATTTGGTGTCTGCTCAGAGCCCATAATTGGAAACTTCCAAAAGTTAGGGATTTTTGCCAGACACTTTGCCTTTCGTGCACACCATGCACACTTGTCTGTGCATCTTCCAATAATCTCATTTTTTCTTTGAGTACCACAATAAAGAACTTTGGTTTTCTACAGCAGTGGCTCTCAACCTGTGGTTCATGGACCCCTGGGGGTCCAGGATATCATCACAGAGGGTCCACAAAGGGTTGAAGAAATATTATGATTTAAATCTTGAGTTAAGTCTTGGAAGTCCATGGCCATGGCCCATGGCCACAAAAGGCATTTAAAGAGGGTCCGTGGTGAAGAAAAGATTCTAAAGCATTTCAAGTCAGATTGTTTGAGCTGGTTTTATTTACCGTATGCTATCTATTTTTAGATATTCTTTCCTGGTCTTTACCAGTGGAATGTAAAGTTTTCTTCTACAAGTGCAATGCTATAGAAACAAATAAATGTATGCCTCATGGATGTATGCATAAAATAGGCCTCCCATACTTATTCATTATGTATTAAGAGTGGGAACAGGCTCTGAAGATTACAGACTCTGAAGCATATTTACCTCTATCCCTACTGCTTTAATTGTAATATTTCGTACTGATTCTTCTTTAAATGGTTGTTGAAAATTCTCAGATCGGTCTGAAAGATCTCAAATCTGTTTGGAATCGGTTCCTAAACCTTATATGAAGGAATTGAATACATCTTTAAGAAAATCAATGATATACACATACATTGAATGCAACATTCAATATAGAATCTGAGTAGTAATAATAAATTCTGCTCATGTAATAACTTTCATATTCATCACACATATGAAACTGCGAAGTTTGTTTCTTTAAAATGAAGCTTGTCCCATGTTTTGCAGCAGTGTTCTGTTTTATTATGCTTCTTATACAATACATGAAAGCTGAAATACGCAGTTTCAAAGAACAAAAACATAGATAGAAATTCAATTCCAAATCATGTAAATGTTAGCTGAGTAATGAGTGGCCTAAATGTAAAAAATGAAATGAGTGGCTTAGAATCCAAGCTGTAATAATAGATGCAGAAAGCATAGCCATTTAAAATGGTTATAATAGTGTCTGGATATATTACATGTATACAAATAATATGTATAATAGCAAAAGTAATAGCATTTAAGCTTAAATACCACCCCATAGCATTTTATAGTACTTTCTGGGCAGTTTACAATGTAAGCATTATTTGCATATTGCCTCCAGCAGTTTGGGTTCTCATTTTACTGACCTTGGAAGTAAGGAAGGCTGAGTCAACCCTGAGGCCCATCAGGATCAAGCTCCAGACTATGGACAGTGTTTACCTGTAATACTGGGCTTTAACCACTGCGCCACCAGAGTTCCTAGTCCTGTACATAATGCAGAAACTTTATGTAGTTTACGCCCTCAGAGATTAAAGTAGCTATAACCTTTGCACTGAGCCCTCAAGAATTAACCTCAACTGATACATAAATAAAGGCTTAGTCCAGTGATGGCAAACCTTTTAGAGACCAAGTGCCCAAAAACTGGCCCTGCCCCAGCTCCAACCCTGCCCCGCCCCCACCCTGCCTGCCTGCAGGGCCACTCACCGTCTCCAGGGCCCGCCGCAGATTGCCCAAGCAGCCCAGCAGCGCCATGGTGGCCACGTCCTCTGCCTGCGCCCCACAGCATCAACTGTGCATGATGGGCCATGAGGGCAGAGTCTTGTCTACGCTGCCTGGCTGCAATGTCCTTGGCTGTGCTGCTCCACATGGGCCACGCTCGGAGGTGCCTCTCCTCCAGGGGGGCTGCTGGTGGGGTCGTGGGGCAAGGCTGGGGCAACGGCACGTGTGCCCACAGAGAGGGCTCCGAGTGCTGCCTCTGGCACCCGTGCCATAGGTTCACCACCACTGCCTTAGTCCATTTATAAAGGAAAATCTTTTTTTATCTTGAATTTTTATTAAAAACAAAACTCCCCCAAAAGGTTTTTTTTTACAGAAATGAACCAAAGAAAGAAAGACATTAAAAAGTGCATTAAAAAAGGACACAAACATGTATACATATATTATCACTCCCTAGTTGATTACTAATAATTATATTTCAACAATATTAGTTTTCCACCCTCTTCCAAAACAGGCCCCAAATTTTTAAACTTCTAAGTCTATTTGAAAATTATTAACCTGTCATCTACCTATTATATTAATAACAAAATAATTAACAGGTAGAATAACAAAAAAGAAGACAAGATTAAAATTTAAAAACTTCTGTTAACAATATTTTTGTATTCAACTTCTTATCTATCCCAAAGCATCCCAGCAATTAACTCTGATTTGTCCTGAATCAAATATCTTTGTTTACTTCTTAATAACATCTCTTATCAGTTGATGAAATGTAATAAATCCATTCTCCAAAATCAATCTATCTTCCAAAAGAATCCAGATGAAATTGTTTTCCAGTTGAATATAATAAATCCATTCCCCAATCTCCCTCAATCTTCTTAAGGGAGATCAGTTTATCACTTAACCATTCGGTCAGTTCTAAGTTTGTAAAGTGCATATTTCTTTCAGTCTTCTCCATTGAATTTGCCAATTTCAAACCAAGTTCCTTTTTTAAATCTAGTTTAACCGCAGTTACTTGCATCTGGGCATTCTTTGTAGCCATTATTATTTTATCAAGCTTAAAAAAAAAGTTTATATGTTAAAAAGCAGGCTTTTCACAAATGCCAGCCACAGTGGCTTGTCTGTAAACTGATACATTATTTGCTCTCTTGTAGCTTAGCAATCTGAGATAAGAAAGCTCTTCAAGGACAGGGAAGAAAGAATGCTGAAGTGATATTCCTCACAGTGAAAAATGTATAGAGAAACAGGGAGCATATTTTTTGGGATATTTCAATCCAAAATTAAAAGAAAATTTAAAAAAATAAGCTCTTAAGTTTTTTGAAAATTAATAAAATGCAAAATCCCTGAGTGAAAGTTCAATATAAATATAAAGCAAGTCAAGACACTTTCACTATCTAAGAACGTGGCATAACTTTCTTACAGAGAAGCAATAGTTATTCAAAACAGCAAAGTAGATCCCAAAAAAGAGGCAGAGAAAACAGATAAAGTCTAACAGGATTAAAATAAGTCAGCATTCAACTAGTCCAGGGGTAGGCAACCTTGGCTCTTATATGACTCGTGGACTTCAATTCCCAGAATTCCTGAGCCAGCCATGCTGGCTCAGGAATTCTGGGAATTGAAGTCCACGAGTCATAAAAGAGCCAAGGTTGCCTACCCCTGAACTAGTCAATTAACTTTTAGAGATAAAAAGCAAAGTAAAATAGAAACTTCAAGTGATTAAAACTCAGTCTTGTTTAAAAAAAAAGATCAGCCAAGAAGAAAAGATTGATCACCTGATTTTCCGGCCACTCCTATTGGGAACTGTAATCTTCAAGATTCCTCTTCCCGGGTGGGTCCATGGTTGTCCAAAAGTCATCTTGGGTCATTCCTAAGTGCTTCCATTGAAATCCAGGGAACAACCCTGCCAAAGAATCAGCTTTGGCAGCAAAATCAGCAGATTATTAGCAGGAGAGAAAAATCCTCTTATTGTTCAGCAACCATCTTGGGGAAAGATCCTACAAAGGAAAATCTTGATGTGGTAAAAGAGCAATTACTGTATACTCACCTGCGTTCTTGCGCTGATGGCAACCTGAACCATCCCAAGTGTAGTTGTCTCCTGCTTAGTTAGGATAAAGCATATGATGTTAAAATCTACCTACGTTGTGTCTAAAATTTTGCCAGTGAAACTTAATGAAAATCAAAACATGAAGTGATCCATGTGGACCAAATATAAAATGCAGAACAGAAAGACAATATTCATACAGTATTAAGTTCAGCCTAATATGGACAGTATTGTGGGTGAAGCTTTTGAAAATTGTTTAAGTCCTTTAGGTAACATATCAATATCTCCCTTTGACCAGTCCGCTCCCACAGAGAGGGCCTCCTTAGGGTACCGTCGGCCAGCCAATGCCGGCTGGCGACCCCCAGGGGGAGAGCCTTCTCTGTGGCAGCTCCTGCCCTCTGGAATGACCTGCCCCCCGACCTACGTACAATTGCGGACCTGCGCCTCTTCCGCCGAGCCCTGAAAACTCATCTGCTCCATGCGGCCAGCCTGGCGTAGTTTTGATTGGGTTTTGATAGGGGTTTTATATTTTAGAGCAGGCTTTTATGTAATATTTACTGTGATTTTTATTATTGCCTGTTCACCGCCCTGAGTCCCGTAAGGGAGATAGGGCGGTATATAAATTTAAATAATAATAATAATAATAATAATAATAATAATAATAATAATAATAATAATAATAATAATAATAATAATGGTCAAGAGAACACAAAAGATGATCTGTCAAAGTCTTATGGTATCAGCTAGCATATTGCAGCATTATATATGGAATATATCTTATAATGAACATGTTACAATATGTAAAACAGTAAGCATTTCATCACACTGTACTGATGAGAAATAAAGCACAGATGATCAGTATTCTGAAAGAGCATGTATAGGCTTTATACGATGCAGATAAATGAGCTTAATGTTAAGGCAAAGAATGGGGAGTGATTTTCCTGCACTAACTTCCTTCTTTCCATTCCTCCTGGTCTTTTCTAGGCAGGACAGGGATGCTTGCTGGTCTCTTGCCCAGTTTTGCTGTGGATATTATGTCAGGTACTCTGCCATCTAACACTTTTCTGTTCTTCTATTTTCTACTGCACCTTGTTCATGAATTCTGCTTTTACTTGTAGCCTGAGTTCATTACCTCTTCAGTAAGTTTTTGCAATTTACGGAGGGTGGGGGAGGGAGTGGTAAGATTTTAACAGGTCAAGATGTGATGTAAAAAGAGTGTTTTATTGATTTATTCGTTAGATTTATATCTTGCCTTCCCTCCGAATAGCTCAGGGGCTAGGATTGTGTAAGTGAATTAGGATACTTCATGGGAAGTATGTTTATGTTCTAAATACTATTTGGAGTATACAAACTTTCTTCTTGAAATTATTAGTATAGTTGATATAATTCAGGCAAATATTAAAATCAGGGTTGAGTGAATTTGAAGGGCTAGGGATGTATGAATGTCAACCCCAAGCCTGATTTTATAGTTTACTATTATTGTTTCGGTAAGAAAGCTTACATTATTTAGAGGTCAAATTTACTGTATACTTAAAACAATGTTCCCATTTGTCTATGGAGATTCTCAGTCATCCAGGTCATGGTTGTCCCAAAGGTGCTTTTTCCACGAGGCAACTGGACTTTCTTGTTTTTCTTTGAAGATGTTTCACTTCTCATCCAAGAAGCTTCTTCAACTCTGACTGGATGGTTGGAGAATGGCAGGATTTATACTTCTTGCAGACAGCTGGTCATTTGCATTTTTTAGAGTCGTTGAAGCCCCTGGAGGTTTATTTGTGTCATCAGGGTCACCTGAGTAGTACAAATCGGTTTGGAGCCTTCTTGGAACTGTTGAAGGACTGTGTTGTAGACTGGAGATAGATGATGTCACATCTCTCCCCTCTGTTGAGAGAGGGCTGTTCAGTTTTGACACAGATGGCCTCTTTGACCCCTCTTTCAAACCAGCGGTCCTCTTTGTCTAAAATGTGGACTTTGCTGTCTCCAAAAGAGTTGTCTTTGTCTTTTAAATGCAGATGCACTGCTGAATCTTGTCCTAATAGGTTTGTTCTCCTATGTTGTGGCCATGCGCTTATGAAGTGGTTGTTTTGTTTCCCCAATGTACAGATCTGCACATGGCTCACTGCATTGTACTCCATATATCACATTGCTCAGTTTGTGTCTGGCTGTTTTATCTTTGGGGTGGTTCAACAGTTCCAAGAAGGCTACACACCCTTTTGCACTACTCAGGTGACCCTGATTACACAGATAAGCCTCCAGGGGCTTCAACGACTCTCTAAAATGACCAGCTGTCTGCAAGTAGTATAAATCCTGCCATTCCCCATCATCCAGTCAGAGCTGAAGAAGCTTCTTGGATGAGAAGCAAAACGTCTTCAAAGAAAAACAAGAAAGTCCAGTTGCCTCATGAAAAAAGCACCTTTGGGACAATGTTCCCATTTAAAACATAAAAAAACAAACCAGAAATTATTTTTATGAGTGTATTGCATGGGTCTACTTTCTTTACACCATCATCTTCCCTGCTTTGGCTCTCCTACTCCAAAAAAAGATCCTGGCAATACAAAGACTGGCCATTCTTTATGTCATGCCATATTCAGAGCAGACTTCACCAATATGTTTTTTTGAGATGTATTGGTTTTCATTCCCCACCAGAATGATGGCTGCCTGGGTTCATTGGATTTGAATACCAACATTTATGGACAGCACCACATTAGGGAATTTTGATTCCATTACTAGCCTTCTATACCTAGTCTACAGTAATTAGTTGCATTGTTCTTAGATGTTGATTCCAGTTACAACAATTGGATGTATATATTCTAGTTTAAACATAAATTAATAAAGAATTGCTAAATTGTTTCCTGGTCTTTTGGATAAGATCAAGTGTACTTAAAAATCTAAAGTTCTCTTTCAACAGTACAGCCTTCTTCATAAATCCAATAAACCCATAATTTTAGTTACACAAAGTGGTCATCATTTTAGCTTGTTGTTCAAATTAAGGATAGCTTCTTTTCTATTGACATTTAGAAAGACCACAAAGATATATTTCATTTGTTGAGGTGCCAAACAATAAAGAAATGGCTGGCATGGGAATGGCTATTTTCAAGATTGATTATTGATAGAAGTGAATATTTGTAGCTCTGGTGGGGTCCTTGGTGCTCTCTGAACTTGGTAGTTTTCTTGCATTCATTTCATGTTATCTAGTAAGTGATGATCTTACCTAGTGTGGTGATAATATTACCTAGTTTGGTAATGAAACATCTGCAAAGATACCAAGGTGGTATCAGACAGCACCCAAACAGCATAAATTGATTATTGCTGTAAGATATATTTTATTATGAGCTTTTATGATATGGCAACTTCATGAAGTTTGAATTATTGTATATTATAGTTACACTGTTTTTATTATGACATTTATTATTAATTATTTTATTTATTATTTCATTGCTTGATGTATGTCAAAATAATCCCATACCTTAACTTCAGTAATACTCTAGATGGAAATCCTCACCACCCTGCATGTCCAATTTTAATTTTGGCTGTTCATTTAGCTAACAAGTTCAGGTTTTGACTAGCAGAATAAATACCCGTTTGAAATTAGCAAAAAGGGGATTTTGAGGTTTTCATTTCAGACACATGTGTGTCATTATATTGCCATTCTCCTTGATTATATTATACAGTGTATTACTCCTTATAGACCCTCTCAGGAAATACTATTTCTTCTGTCTTAAATAACTCTAGGACTGAGATTCATGGGTCTAGTTTTAATGTCAACTGATTTAAATTATGCTATAAAGATTAGCACTTGTTTTTAGCATATATATATATTCATTTATTTGTATTTTATTGATTATTAGTCAGTTATTGTTTGACATCTCCAACTTTTCATTCATTTATCTTCTTTTTGTTTACAGAATGGATGTTTGTGGGCTTGGTGATCCTGGGGGCTTTCCTTTTCTTTCTCCTAGTTGGGATTTGCTGGTGCCAATGCTGTCCTCATAACTGCTGCTGTTACATTCGTTGCCCTTGCTGTCCAGATACTTGCTGCTGTCCACGAGCATGTGAGTGACTATTTACAATGTGGATCAACGTGTAAGCAAATCTTTCATCAAGATACATTGTCTGTCTGGCATATTTCTTTATATAAAAAAAATTTATGTGCTATATGGACTTGAAAGCTATAGTTAGGGTACATATAGTACAAAAATCAGTATAAAAAGCTAAAATTTAAATTATCTGGCCTTTCAGAGTACTAAATTTCATATAGATGTTGTTATCCATGGGATAGCAACAAGATATTCCCAGTCTAGGTGAAACCATATTTAACTAATTTTGTTTTAACTACTGGATGTTGAATAAAGTTGGACTACTTTTCCAAGTTACTGAACTTGGAAAACATTGCTTTAGAACAGGACTCCCAACTTTTCTGGCACCAGGGACCGGTTTTGTGGAAGACAATTTTTCCATGGACCGGGGGGAGGGGAGGAGGACAATGGTTTTGCGCATAACCTAGATCCCACACATGTGCAGATGAAGCTTCTCTTGTTTGCCTGCTGCTTGCATGGCCTGGTTCCTAACAGCCATGGACTGGTACCAGTCTGCAGCCCAGGGATTGGGGACCCCTGCTTTAGAACATTTTTAAAACATGTCTGTTGGTATAACTACCTTTGGCCTTTTGTATAACCAAGTTACTGTTTTGTTTTTTATTTAACTTGTGACTATCAAAGTCTTTTGGCAGTTTACAATTTATTTGTACTGCTAGCGTAGGACAATGTACCTAATTGTGAGATTTTTTTCTGCTAGCACACCCAGATTTTGTCATTCTTCTTATCTGCAATTCCACAAGCTTTCTCAAGAACTCATCTTAAAGTGTTGAGAACTTTGGAATTAATATGGAGAATGGCACAGACAATTTGCAAGTTTCTCCGGTTTCAATTAGCAGATATATTTACAGCTAGCACAAAGCCACTATTGGGTGTGATTTTGCAATATTAACTTTTAAAAGTGTTATTTTTTTTTTAAAGCAGCTGTTTAATTTTTGATGATTTAAATGTTTTTCATAACATTTCAGCAGCTTCAATCAATAGTGGTGGGTTAGATGAGACTTACATTCATTTGCAAATTCAGTTACTTAAAAATGGTCTGGATTATTGTACTGGAGAAGATAGGTATGCTTCTAAATTCTCATTGACTGAATGTATAAAATGGCACCCATCTTTCTGAATCAAAATGACTATATGATGAGAAAGAACGTTCATATGATTTCTTTGTGCACATTTTTGTTTGTATTAGTCATAGTTTGTTACCATATCTGTCCAACAAGTTGTCTTTTATACTAACTTGAAGCTGTCAATGGTACTAAATGTAAAGGTAAACTACTATGCGATTAAGAGAGGAATCATTGTGTTCAATGATGTACAAATAACCAGTTCAAAAACCAGATTTGGCTGGGGAAGTAATATGTAAACTGTGATCTGGGATACCTTCTAGTGAGATTGCTTCTTTAAAATGAGTTCACTAAATTTCCATTACAATCCTTAACCCCCCCATATCCTCCCCACTCTAAATTTCCAGGATTGAGGAAACACAAGTCTGGCAAATCTTCTGGATTGTGCTCAGCTGATGATTTTTAGGTTTTCTATTTCCGCTTCCAGTCCTGAGATTTCCTGATGATCTCCCATTCAAATAATGATCAGATCTTATCCTTCTGCACATTCAACCAAGATTGACTAAGTATCATCTGTTAGCTGAACCAGGGAAGGACAGTTACTGTTTGATATATTTGAAGTATTACTTGTTACTCTTTTTTTTCAGTGTATGAAGCAGGAAAAGCTGCAAAGGCTGGATATCCTCCAGCAGTCACATCAATCCCAGGTCCATACTGTATCCCTACTGTTTTGGGTAGTGGAGTCCCATCTCATGCTGTCCTTGTGGAGAAGTCACATTTACCTCCCTTGGCACCCAGTGAATCTGGGGCAGGAGCACAAAGTGGTAATCTCTTCATCTCTCTATTATTATTCATCTCTCTATTATTATTTAATAAAACATATTTCTAAACACTTAAAAATTTAGGACATTTATATATCATAGGACAATGACCTCCTAATGGAATATTAGATATTTGTTTCCTAGAAAGACTACATATACTAATCACTTACTTCTCTATGCAGTGCACAAGGGTTACCGAATACAAACTGACAAAGACAGAGATTCTATGAAGGTGCTATACTACGTTGAGAAAGAATTGGCTCAGTTTGACCCAGCCAGAAGGATGCGCGAGAGATGTGAGAAACAGTTTTATCAACTATTTCAAATTAATGTCATCCTTGCTTCTATTTAAAATATTACAGAATTTTAACACAGACCATGCTCATCGCCTTATTGTACCCTTTAGGTCAGGGCTTTTCAACCTTTTCACCCATAGTACCACTTTTAGGATATGGCACTATCCGAGTACCACCAGTCATCTAGAAATGTGTCAAAAACTTGATGACCAAAAAAAAAAGAAGAAGAAAAGTGATAAAGTACAGGTAGTCCTCGACTTACAACAGTTCACTTAGTGACTGTTTGAAGTTACAACGGCACAGAAAAAAGTGACTTATGACCATTTTTCACACTTAGAACTGTTTCAGCATTTCTAGGGTCATGTGATTTACATTCGGATGCTTGGCAACTGATTCATATTTATGATGGCTGCAACCTTTTGACAAGCCAATGGGGAAAACAGATTCACTTAACCTTTTATATTAGGGATGTCAAACTCAATTTCATTGAGGGCCGCATTAGCATTGTGGTTACTGTGGGGGAGGGGTTTCCTTCCTTTTTCCTTTCTTCCCTCCCTCTCTCCCTCCCTCCCTCCCTCCTCCTCATTCCCATTTCCTTCCTTCCTTCCTTCCTTCCTTCCTTCCTTCCCTCCTTCTCATTCCCATCTCCTTCCTTCCTTCCGGTGCTGATCCTGGCATTTCTGCTGAGCCCTGACAGCTGATCGGCGCTTCTGCAGGGCTGTCAGGGCTCAGCAGAAATGCCAGGATCAGCGCCGGGGTCCAGCTGATCGGCGCTTCTGGGGGCTCAGCAGAAGCACTGATCAGCTATAGCTGCGTGCATCGATCCTGGGCTCCTGCTGAGCCCCCATAGCCCTGCAGAAGCGCACACCAATCTTGGGGCTCCTACCCAGCTCACTCGCTCGCCCTTCCCCCCAAAACAGGTCACTCGCTCATGCGCCCTTCCCCCGAAAACATGCCGCTCGCTAAACAGGCTGTTCGCTCACATGCCCTTCCCCCGAAAACACACCGCTCACTAAACACGCCGCTCACTCACATGCCCTTCCCCCGAAAACACACTGATCGCTAAACAGGCCACTCGCTCATTCACCCTTCGCCCGAAAACACGCCATTCGCTAAACAGGCCGCTCGCTCACTCACCCTTCGCCCGAAAACAGGCCGCTCACTCTGTCTCTCCTCACTGCTTTGGTAAGAAAAGCCTCTTCTCGCTCTTTCTCTCCCTCTCCTGCCAAAACCTGCCCCTTCTCTTCTCTCTGCCCTCCTCCTCCTTTTCTCTTCTGGGTGTCCGAAAGCTCCAATTACCATGTCGCCACATGCGCTGATCCTAGGGCTTCTGCCAAGTTCTGCAGTTCCAGCTGATCTCCAGGTCTGTGCAGCGCTGCTTTAGCTGATTCCCTCCCCCAGTACACTTGGCTAGGAGTCACATACCACCTGCCAGATGCTAAAGTACTACTGGTGGTACGTGTACCACCAGTTGAAAAGCCCTGCTTTAGGTAACACTCATTCCAGGTGTTGTTAGCAATCTATACTCCCCCCCCAAATATGCTAATTTTCAAAAATCCTTAGAGGAAGTTTTTTGGAGGCTTGATAAATCTGTTAATCATATCAATTAAGTTACACAAGCCTGTTATCTAGTTTGTATATTGCAGTTGGAAGGAGGTTGGAGCTTTCATGTGACTTTTTCAATAGAGTACAAAAATATTCAGTTGCATGAGCTCCTGCATGCAATGCTGTATGGAATAAGTCCTTCTGCTTCAATAATAATCAAGGGTTAGAACTTTAGAACTGCCTATTTCCTCTATTGCTACTGAATGTATGACTTACTTTTAAAAAGTATTTTAAATATTGTTTATGTCATAAACTAGTAATATATAATATAATCCACTCTTAACCAATTTTCTTTAGGAAGAAGATAGATTAGCTATATTACCATTTCCACAGGTTCCACTGTGAATCACTGAGTAATTCATTGAAGTGTTTTTTCTCTAAAGAATATTATAGCAGGTGCATGTCCACAAATTGCTACCCACGGATATTATATTTCATCTCTATCTGTACATAGCAATCATTTCAAGTGAAACAAAATAGTGACCCAAGTCATTGACTCATCTAATCCTCTCAGATTTGATGAATGGGAGGGGGGATTTATGTAAAAAATAATAATTGCTGCTATCTATTTTTAGCATCCACACTCAATAGACTCACTTTATAAGAGCCAGTACGTTCTAGCACTCTTAGACATGCAGGCTGCCTCAATCAATTGATAAGCAGACTGAAGGAATGACTTTAAACACAGTTTTGAGAAAAACTAGCAAATTACATGGTGTTCTACAATACTCATCACTGAACATGCTGCCATTTCCACCCACTAAGAAGACTATAAAAAGGTTCCCTCCAGATTGGAATGCCTAGGATCCAAATGTCATTGCGTGCAGGGGGATAAGCAATGGGGGTGATGGGCGGGAAAGATCAAGTCTTTATGAAAAGCTACATTTAGTTAATTCTACAGAGCTGATCTGTCTTCCATTCCAGAAAGAGTGTGACTGAGATCCCACATTTCTGACAGCCTAGAAATAATGCATATGAAAATGTTTATGTTATAATATAAATGTCATATTGGTTTTATACGCTGTTCTCTAAGTAGACTTCACTTCAAAGACACCACTTTTTAAGATGTCGTCTATATGGGATTTTTTTCTGAGCTTTTTTCCTATTGAGCTCTGATCTGCAGTCATTATTGCAATATTTTTAAAATGAACCAATCCTTAACATTAGGCTTAATAGACATTTATTTCTTTAAAAATCTTATTGTCTAGCCACTGTTCAAAGAAACTTTTCAAAGAAACTGTGGCAGTTATAAACCATAAAATCAAAATATAGGAATAAATCTAAGTAAAGTAAGCAATGCCTTAATCACTTCTACATTCTATACTAGCAGCAATTTTTGGGTCATCTTCAAGAACAGACCCAGAATCACAGGCCTACATCAAATTCATTGCAGTAATTCAAATATATGTTACCAGGGCATGGACTGTCCCTGCAGCTGCCAGGATTCATCTGAGAGAAGAAAATCTAATACCCCAAGACTGTGTACCAACTCCTTCATAGGGAATAAATAGTAGTAATTCCCTCAGAATTGAAGATTTTTCCAATTCCTAGACCATCAATCTACAGAGTTTTGATCTTGTCAGATTCAGCTTCTGCTGATTGATCAAATTCCAGGTGAAAGTACTCTACAAAAAAACCTGTACCAGTTAGAGCAGTGGTTCTCAACCTTTTTAATGCCGCGACCCCCAACCGGTCGTAAGTCGAGGACTAAACCGGTCGTAAGTCGAGGACTAAACCGGTCGTAAGTCGAGGACTACCCAACCAGTCGGAAGTCGAGGACTTTCCCTGCCTGGGAGCGCCGCGCATGCGTGGTTTCGCCCCCTGCGCCGGCCGAGGCGTAGCTGGCAAGCGGCAGAGACGGAGCAGGCCGACTACCAGCTGGCCCAGCTCAAGGGAGGTAAGGCACCTGCCAGAAAAGGGGAAAAAAATGGCAGACAGTCTTGCTTGGCAACCCCCGTGAAATGGTCAATCGACCCCAAATGGGGTCGCGACCCATAGGTTGAGAACCGCTGAGTTAGAGCTAGATATCATCAGTATACAAGTGTTCTGTCCCCGTCTGACACACACACCCAAACAGCCAGCCGAGGGTTAAATAACTTCTCCACACTCCAAGCCACAGATAAGAAACTTGGCAGCAGCTCCGTATCTGCCTGCCAAGAACTTTTACTCAGAGAACACAGAAACAAAAAACAATTTGAAATTGTTTGAAATTCAATCCACAGCAAACTACTTCGCCAGAGATTTAGCTTTGTCTGTCACAGAGTCCCAATGGCCACCACCTCCCTTTTATAGCCTGTGGGGTGTGGTCCAGTGACTCAGCTTAATCTCTGGCACGTCTCCTTTTCTGCTGCACACGCTTGTCGCGCCTATGCTGGCGTGGATCCAGCCACAACGTATCTGCATCACTATCCGAAACACCTGGCTCCTGGCCAATCTCAGAAACACCTGGCTCCTGGTCAATCTCTTCTCCGTCGGGAGACACCTGAGGCATTGCCAAAGAGGAGGGTCCTGGAGAGGGAGGCCTGGCCATCTCCTCTCCTTCATGTTTGGAGCCTTCTTCCTCCGATAAGAGGGGCTCACAAGACGGAGCCACAACAAGTGACACTTAACCCCACATCTACTGATTACTGCACCAATGAATTAATATAGATATTAAACAAGAATGATAAAATAGATCCTTGTAAGAACCCAGAGCTTGGAGCCAGGAACTCTGCAGCCCCTTAATATTTCCTGGAATGGGCACAGAGCCATTGAAAAATAATGCGAGAGAATAGAAAGTTGCACTCATCCAGTCTTTCCCATATAATCTGTCATGTAGTAAAGAAACCAAAGTAACTTCAGTGCCAAACCAGGCCTGAAAGCAAACTGGAGCAGGTCTAGTGTACCAATGTTCTCCAATAACTCATAAATAAATTGTCTATCATCCTCTCAAGCATTTTGCCCAAGCAAGAATATGTATTATAGGCAGGGCTTTTTTTGTCATAGAACACCCAGAACAGAGTTCCGGCACCTTTTTTGGATGGAACCTTGTAGGTGGGCAAGGAAGGTTTTATGACATGTGTGAGTTCTGGCACCTTTTTTTTTTTTTTTTTTTTTTTTNCCCTTCGCCCGAAAACACGCCATTCGCTAAACAGGCCGCTCGCTCACTCACCCTTCGCCCGAAAACAGGCCGCTCACTCTGTCTCTCCTCACTGCTTTGGTAAGAAAAGCCTCTTCTCGCTCTTTCTCTCCCTCTCCTGCCAAAACCTGCCCCTTCTCTTCTCTCTGCCCTCCTCCTCCTTTTCTCTTCTGGGTGTCCGGAAGCTCCAATTACCATGTCGCCACATGCGCTGATCCTAGGGCTTCTGCCAAGTTCTGCAGTTCCAGCTGATCTCCAGGTCTGTGCAGCGCTGCTT